AAGGCATTTTATGCCTTTCTATTCTATGATTTTATATGACTTACTATACTATAACATTTTCATGACTTACCATACTATGACTTTATTATGGGGCGGCACGATGGTGCAGTGGGTAGAACTATCGCCTCACAGTGAGAAGGTTCTGAGTTCAAATGCCAGGCCTGGGGTCCTCTCTGTGTGGAGTTTGCATGTTCTCCCTGCGCTTGTATGGGTTCTCCCTGGGTACTCTGGCTTCCTCCTGCGATCCAAAGACATGCATATCAGGTTAATTGGCAACTTTTTTATGACTACTATGACTTTTTTTGACTTTAGGACATTTTATGCCATACTACACTATGGCATTTTTTAAGACTTATTATACTATGACTTTTTTTTCCTTACTATACAATGACTTTTTATACCTTACTATGAGAAAACATCAGTGAATTGGCATTACACGATTCTTTATCAGTAATTTTTGTTAGTATATATGAAATATATATATAGAAATATATGAAAATTTTTCTCCATCATTCTTGTTAGGCCAATGCTTTGGATTTTGTGACACTGGTAAGCTGGTCGGGACCAATACTGTTGAGTACTTGTACGCAATAATAGAATCCAGCAGCTGTAGTAAATTTAGAATAAAAAATTAGCACTATGTTGTTTAGTTTGGACTTGTTGGGGACAGTTTGGGGTCAAACTTCTTCTTTAATTCCTATTTGATCTATTACTTAAATTTCAACTAGAGGCCAGGAGAGTTTCACCAGGGCTAGTGTGGCTCATTGTTCAGAGATCACACCATTTACATCTGTCCACCGGTCATTGATATTCCCAGGAAAAGAAAAATCATAAAAAAAAATGTGTAATAAGTAATTTGTTTAATAGTAACAATCATCAACCATCCAACCAGCCACAAGATGTTTATTTAGATATAAGGATCCAGACAAACAGAATATCTTGAATATATGAACTCATACTGTCCGCAAACAAATCACACACAAAGTGCAACCATATGAGGGGCAGTTTCTCACTGGGTTTGCTGTTAGCTGGTCTTACTTGTAATTGTATCAGACTACTGGTGAATGATACACAGACTGGTGGCTAACTAAGAAAAACAGGAAATGGCTTATAAACAGCTTTCGTGTCTTGTCATAGAAATCATCACCATCAAACATCACTATCATTATGAAATGTTACAGATCGATTTCAAATCAAAAATCTGAACCTGAAGTTAAATTGTAATCAACAACATCAAACAGGTTTTATAGACGTTAACATGTATCTGATAATTTTTTTAATTGTTATTTTGGTGGTGGAGGAAAATAAAACACACAAGCTGCATCTATTCTGTGAAGAAAAAAAGATGAAGGAAGGAATTCAGTCACTGTAAATATTTTTCCATTAATGAATTCATACACACTGTGGCTCATGCTACCAACAGTGGGGTTAGAAAATAATCTGAAACAGTGGGAGCAGAGGTTACCTTAACTAGTAAACCTGATGTATAACCTCTGTGTGCACAAGTTGATTAACCAATATAATGTAACAATAATGAAATAGTTCCCAATTGTGTAACAACTATCTATTTACACAGAGATTATTTCTGAAAAAAGTTTACAGGTAAAATGTTAATATCAGTAAAATACATCACTAATAAATTCATTACACAATTTCTTGTTTAATTGTTAGGCTCAATACATGCTAAAGGATTTATGGCAGAATAGGTGCTGAAATCTGAATCCAGGGTTTTCTTCTTCTTTGGTCTCTGTGATTCCTGATGGATTTCCAGTCCATTTGTTGTTTAGAAGAATTATCAAGATCACAGTGTTACACTACTCTAATTTACTGCCAAACATTTGTGTGTCGTAACCACAAAAAAATACACACATACACATCAATACATGTTTTAGTCACGTTGCTGTAGAGTGGACTTCATCATCACCTATCATTTCCACAGTAGTAGAGACTCTCATCAGAATCAGTGATGTTCGTGATCAGCAGGTCGTAGGAGTCAGAGGACTGGTTTCTGACCAAATGAAAGAAGAGAAGGCTGGTTCTCATGAGAACAAAGAGTGACGTTGTCTCCGGGTTTGACTGTCGCCTCCAAAACTGATCCAGAAATCCAACCATGGCTACAAGAAACAACCCCTGCAGAAAAATAAATAAATAAGCAAAAAGAAAAAAAAAATTAAAAAAGCAGGTTTAAATGTGGCCCGTATTACAGCTTTCCACATTACAACACATGCAAGTTACTGGTCAACCGAACAACAATGAGCACATGATTTGACAGTCAAAATGAGAGCAAACAATTATAATGAAATTTCTAATACTGTATGTCAGAAGAATTACCGAAGAGAACAACTAGAAGATCACGCCCATCCATGTGTGATAATGACCTGGACTTGATAGACAGCTTAACGTGTCTGACTCATGGATGTCAAGACCTGAGCAGACTTTGCCATCAAAGGAAACATAAGTGGTAACTGGCTCATTGAACAGAACACTTTCTTCTGTGGTTACTTTCTACAGGTGCAATGCTAAGTCATGTTTTTGCATTGATGCAAAGATTAAACATACAATGCATTGCCAGTCAGCTTGGAAAATATAGCATCAAAATCTGGGCAGCATGTGACAGCTTTGCTTGGAATATGTAAATATATACAGGTGTATTTTTTTCATAGGAAAGTATTTCTGGTCAATTTTGACTCATAACACAACAGATATAACTATAATTGTTCATTTTAACATAAGAAAATACAAACAGTTTATTTGGGGAATTGTTGTGTTTGTGTGTGTTCATCATGAACATCTCAGTCTGATAATATTTGCCTGTTCTGTTCAACATAAGACATGAAGTAGATCAATTGTGCCTATTTAAACTAAAAATGATTTGTGCATTGTAAGTTAAATGTGGTCTAAACATAAAACATAAAATATCAAAGTAAGTATATATATTTTATGGTTATGGATGAACAGTAAGTTACTGAATTCAAACACGGGTCACACAACAGGACACAATAGGAAGGTTAAGGTATTACATGATTTTAGATCCAGAATCTTTTGGCCCCATCATATTGTGCCACGAAAACAAACCAAAACGAATCATACATGCTCATTGTTTTATTTTAATATAAAGCTGCAGCAAATGTAGTGAGTTTAAAATCACGTTGGCAAATTATAATCCAGTTTGGGCTCGTCTTGGTTTAACATTTCCACTAGAGGTCAGGAGAGTTCTCTCTGGAGCTAGTGTGACTGACTGCACAGAGATTACCCCATCAGCATCTCCCCAACCTTCTCTGTTTTCTAGCGCTCCGAAATATATGAAAAAAGTGTCTCTGAAATGAGCTGTTTTTGACAAATACCCCATCTATCGTTGTGTGAACAAGTGAAAATTTATATCTTAATCTACCTACAAAAAAGTCCTCTAGATGTGTGTTATCCAGATAAAGTGATGCAAAGCAACCACACATCACTCACAATTTGTGTATGAAACCACATTAACACTCAGTATGTGTATGTAAACAGTGCAGCTGGTGTGACTGATTCACAAAGTTATGTTGTGGTCACTGATATGATGCAGAGTCGGAAAAACACTCTACCTCCAAACGTAGCTGTGGTGCCTACAGAGCTGCTTATATTCTGGCTTTGTTATATATGCTTTAACATCACCCTGCTCAACAGTCAGTGAAGAATTGTACCATGTGCACACTTTCTGAAGTAGACTGATTTAGGGCTCAGAGCTTTGCTGTATGTTTTGATTTGTGTGTGTGTGTGTGTGTGTGTGAGTGTGTGTGTGTGCGTGCACGTGTGTGTGCGTGTGTGTGTGTCTCTTTGAGGTATGATCTTATGATCGGTGTTCACAATGTATATGGGGAATGGAACTGTGCTTTAATCTGCAGGTTCAGTCTGTTTACACATTAAGCTTTCCAGTCCTTTAAGGGTCTGTTTGTCATTGTGGGTTTCCTGTGAACTTTGCTCATCAAAAGGTGCTACAATAATGTCTGGTAACTTCTCAGAAAAGATGTCGCAGGGGCATTTGTAAATAAATAAGCTAAACTGTAGCTAGCTTGGTTTTTGCCCTGTCCTAAATACACAATCATTTCCTTGAGTTTTATTCTCTGTAGCAAAATCAGTCCCAACATAGAAAATACTTGGTGTTGTATCAAACACTGCTGATGACGGGTCGGGGCTGATGGCAAACTTGAGATAAAAACAGGAAATTGCTTGAAAACAGCTTTCGTGTCTTGTTACAGACAAGCAGCCGGCCCTGACCTTTACAAAATATTACAGATCGATTTCAATCTGTAAAAAAAGTGAGTCTGAAGCAAATTGTTATCAGCAACAACAGACAAGCCTTTCTATCTGGAGTTTTTTTATTTATTTATTTCTTCAGCTTATCAATTTTTAATCTGTTATTTAATTGGTGTAAGGAAATAAAATACACAGGATGCATCTATTCTTTTCAGAATGGCTGAATTAAAATACACTACATTAGTATACAAGTACAAAACAACCTGACACAATGAAAAACAGTTTTATATGGAAAAAGACAAAAGTTTAGTATAATCTCTTTGATTCTTAATTTTCTCTTAAAAAAAAAACAACCTGTATTTCATCATATGATAATGATGATGATGATGATTGTTGCTCAGCTTTAAAAGGGAAAGCTAAATGACGGAATGGTGTATATGTGTCCCTACAAAATTAATTATATAACTCAATATCATCATACAATTTATTGTATTACATTTTTAGGTCCTCTACACCCTAGAAGTATTGATCGCAGAATAGGTGCTGAAGTCCGAACTCTGCATTTTCTTCGTCTTTGGTCTCTGTGAGGCCTGACGGATTTCCAGCGCAGCGTAACACATATCTTCATCCTAAGATTTAACATTTGTTGATTAAAATCATGATCATACTGATTCAATACTATGAGTCATAAAAAAAGATGGTAGAAAATACCTGATTCAGTCGTGTTTGGCCTCTAGTGTCAGGTCTTATCTGATCAACCTGAGATTCTCTAGCTGTAGAGATAAATCATAAATCATTACAGCATGTTACACCCAACCTCATACAATGATAAATAATGTTAGGCTTGAAAAGTGACATATGTAGAAGATACCTTTTTTCTGAAAGAGTTGATGAACCACAAGCGAAGACAGGAGAGAGGAGAGAACAGCAAAGGCCGGACACAGAGTGAATAGCAGCACCCAACACAAATTACAGTCCTGATGAGTCTTATGATGTTGAGGTTCACTGGTGTTGTCTGGATCAAACACGAAGTTGTCTTAATTAGCTTCATTAAAGTCTGACCTCACAAACTTCTTGTTTTTTGTTTTTTTTTTCACCTCAGACTGTCACCGCTATCACACTCACACATAAAACAAAGAACACTTACCACATATGATCCTTGTTGCTACATTGCCATAGTTGTAAATGTATTTGGAAGTGATTAATTCTTTATCCTCCACCTTGGTCTGTTGAGTTCCACAGTAGTAGAGCCCCTCATCAGAATCAGTGATGTTCCTGATCAGCAGGTCATAGGATTCAGAAGAATGGTTCTTCAAAAATTCAAAAGGAACCGAATAACCCATTGTTTTAAGAACAAGAGTGGGCTGGTTCTCATGAGAACAGTTCCTGTACCACACTATGTATACTCCAGTAGATATTTTGCAGTCACAGTACAGAGTGATGTTTCCTCCTGGTCTGACTGTCACCTCCGACACTGGTTTGGGAATCTGATCCTGACTGAAAGAAACAGCTCCTGCAATAAAAACACAGTCATAAAAGTAGCATTACAGGATTTCACAGCACAGAAAGTGCAGCTTACTAATAAACAACAATGAGTATGTAGATATAAATTATTTGTAAAATGGAACATAACTATAATTTAGTCATCAAAATTTTTTATCAAAAGAATTACCAAAGAGAACGACCAGAAAAACGCGCAGCCCGTCCATGTGTGATGATGACAGAGAGCTCAAAGAGAGCGAAACACATTTTACTCATAGATATAAGCTGCTCTGACTTTTCCATTAAAGGAAGTATAAGTTGTGATTGGTCCTTCAAGTGGAACATTTTCTTCTGTGGTTGTTTTCTATTGGTTTGATGGCAAGCGATATATTGGCCATTGATGCTTCCTCCTTGAGACCTGATAACACACACAATCAGAGAAGACCCACTACACCTCGAGATTTAACAGAGGGTGTTCAAATTTACACAATAATTGTAGTCCAGTACATTTGGTGTCATCTTATTACAGATGTGGGGATTCTGATGAACATAAACCAGAGGATAGGCGATCCTCTGAGGCAAGGTATGAGATAAAATACATGTTTTTACAGTGCAGAATGAATGTCCTCCAAAGAAAACCAATATCACCAATTGTTTCACAAAAAGCCCAAAAACAAATATTGGTAGTATGGTTATTTGAGGTCCTGGCCACCCACTACCATATGAGAAGTATGTTTGTCTGCATTGTTTCTGATAGCACGTATCACCCCAAAAGATGCCTGCCTGGCGAGGTGAGATGATGGAAACAATGCTGCATGTAGTGTAGATCAATACCACTGATACAAGTGTGTGCTTTTGCATGTGCATGTACACACATGCTTGTGTTGATGTGGTGTGATATGTGCAGCCACTTATGCTGTGTTATTTTTAAAACAAAACTTACCACATATAATCTGTCTGAGAACAAGAGATGCACTTGATGACAGCAGGCATATTTCTGTGTTTGTCAAGAACTCTCAATTATTTGTTAGCTAAATTACAACATAACATCTTTTACTTTGCTGTTCATGTTTTCAGGTCAGTCTGCTGTCACAAACTGTGACATCTACACAGCCCATGGGCAAATATTGTTTTCCCCCTTTTTTTAGCCAGTCAGCTTGTATATTAAAGTAAAATCCTCAGAAGTAATTAATTATTGATCTTAGCTCCACTTCTGAAATTAATTTTGGAAATGAATGAATCCCTTCTTTCAGAGGATCAAATCAGTTTTTCCCAGACCTACAATGACAAAGTTTTTGACCACACAAATTGGTACAATCACATACATAGTTTAGAGAGAACAATGTCAACCAATAATGCTACAAAATACTAGTTAGTTTTTGTGTTATAAATTTTGGTGGTGGGACGTGAGTTTCTAATTGTTCTAATAACACCAAATAAAGGTCTGCTTGAAATCAATGTTTTCAAATATATACCTTAGTTAATACCTGAATAGATTGGTTAGGGATAGGGAAACATCATGGTCTTTGTTAATGTCATGTTTATGTTATGTCAAATTTACTATAATGGCCAGATTCAAACTTGTAAAAAGCATTCACACCAACATCCAAGTCATAATACTGACTGGGAAACTGTTGCCCTTGATAATTGATAAGTGATGCCCTTGCATGCTCAAAAGCCAAACAAACAATGATGCTCTTAGGTCAGCCAAAGTCATTCAGAGTAATTAAATTCAAACTTTAGTGTAACTCATCTTTACCTGATATCCCATATGAAGTGAATGTGACAATAACTACTGAAGACGTTTCCCGTTTCAATATTTAACTGAAACCACAATCTTTCCCTAATTTTAACCCAAATATTCATGTAGCCCAACCCATACACGGAACTAAAGATATAAATAGCCTAATGGCACTGTGTTTTGTGTGCTCAACCAAACACCCCCACCGCCTCCCACTGACATGTGTGTGGTACAAGTCAATACCAAGTCAGAAGTCAGAACACACAAACAAGCATCTCCACTTCCTGAACTAGAAAAAACATTACCAGTGAACATAAATAGTGCAGAAACCATTAAGTTCTAAACCCACAGCTCTACTATTGTATCATTCAGAGAGTCTACTATAATCTAGTGATCTACATTAATGGCTTTGATTCAAATATATCCGCTGACCAAACACTGAGGCCTCACAAAACTGGGACACACAGATGACACTATTGGCCACACTCCAAACACAAATGCATTTAATGAGGCTCTGTGTTAACATAATAGACAACTGGGTATATGGATTCACAAAATTCTTGACACAAAAACATACCAAAATGATTTCATAGACATCTCTTTTGGACCTGAAAACAAATGCTGCCAAGTCCAAAGCAGCTGACTTGGCAGCTTATTTATTGAATTGGCAGCTGACTTTTGCTTACACCTGGCTTCTCTTCAATAAAGGATGGGGAAATAAAGAGAACAGGGTATCTCGTCCTATTTGCTTACTTAAGGGGAAATATCTAACTTTAAAACATTTTTGAAAAATAAGATAATTAACAGAAAGTAAAGAAATAATAGTTTTGACGTTATGTCAAAGACATATATGTACTGTGTTGCAGAGATACTACTACTCCTTTGCACCTCAAGAGGCAATAGTGACTCACTGTATGGTCCAAGCTGCCCTCAGTCCAACATGAGAGGATGAAAAAGTGATAAATGTGAGTAGGCTAAATCTGTGTTGCAGCAGTTCTTCATGCGGCATTCTGGTGCTGCTTCTCCAGCTGCTCTCCCTCTGCCTTGCATTGCTCAACCTCTTGTGGCTCCTCCTCTACTCCTGCCACTACTACAGCTTCCCTGTCTCTCTGACTGGGCGGAATGGGTGTAAAATTGTTGTCATCAGTCGAAGAATAACTGAAGAAAACAACGTACCAGTTACTTAATCGGAATCAGAATCAAAAAACATTATTCACCAACCCATGCAGGTTTGGCAACATGTCAACAACTGCCCTATATGCTGAGGTTAGATTTATTCAAGCTAACATTAGCTCATTGTGAGGGTAAAGGTTGGAACTTGATTGTGGGTGGCCAGTGAGCCCAGTGCCTGAATATGCATGCAGCATGCTCTCATATTCACCCCAAATGACAGGTACACAGAGGGTGCTGGTAAGAACTTAATGGCCCACCAACCCACTGATGCAAAGGCCCAGCAGAATTTGTCCCAGTATCCCCAATAGCCAGTCTGACTATGGCACAGGGGACAGGGAGGGGGAGACGAAAGAGTGCATTTCCTTGTTTCTTACACTAGGGGTGGACACCCCAACCTTCTGTTAATATGCTGCCCCCTATTTGTTTGGAGTATGAATTTGGCAGCTGGCCAATTCTTACATGTTGCCACTTTAAATGCAATGCCCTGCACTGCCTGTTTTGTGCCTCTTTGAAATTAAAGTAGACCTTATCAAGGCAGCTGTAGCTGTTCTGTAGCTAGTCCTGGAAGTTATATCCAAGAAAAGGCCTCAAAATGAATACACTATTGGCATCATGCTCATAGCGTTACCTAAGGCTAAAATAATATGTGTATATCTGAATTATATCTAAAATATTGAGTGTTCCCTCCCTTACAATAAGATATTGAAGTATCATCATGCAGACATTATTTCCAAAAACATGAGACTTGAACTGCAGTGTCCAAGGAGAGTGGTAAACAGAAATGGTGTGTGACAGTTTGGTGCCTGGAGACTTATTAGATGATGCTGATTAAAATGAACTAAACTGGGCTGAAAAATTAACACAACTAAAATCCAAGTCAAGCTGGAAAGGGAGCTTTTCAAAACAGCTTACATTTCTGTGTGCATGTGTGTGTGTGCATGCGTGTGTGTGTGTGTGTGTTTCTGCCAGTGTACGTGAATTTATTTTCACAATACTGTTGCTATGCGTGTTGCTGCAGATGTTATCCAGAGGATTTTCAGCTTTGTTGTTTTCAGCTCAAGCCCCTCTGCAGCATCAAAGGAGTGGCCGGGGCCTCTAAAAACCACAACTGTTTCCATCCACTTGTCAAATGTCAACTGCTTGTTCAACCACTGCGGCGCTGTGTTAGTATGTACATATATTGTATGTGTGAGTGTCTATACGTGTGTGTGTGTGTGTGTGTGTGTGTGTGTGTGTGTGTGTGTGTGTGTGTGTGTGTGTGTGATTGTTTTGCATTTGCTTCTGCAACTGCACAGGAAACTGTTTTCTCAGGCCTCGGGGGCAGTGTGAACATTTAGACATTTGTTTGAGACACGCAAATCATTACTGACAGAATGACTGTTTTGTCAGTGTAATGATGTTGGCTTTATTATTGCGTACTTTATTTATTTATTTTATTTGACCTTTATTTAACCAGGGCGGTCTGTTGAGACTGTAATCTCTTTTTGAGACAATCTTGGATGAAATGGTAGCAAAATTATGTTATAAACCAACATTTACACAAAGATGATAAATAAAGAAAGACGGGGAATAGAATAGATTATTAGATGCACACCATTTCCTTATTAAATAATTCATTCAAAATCAGATAAAACAAAGCACTTGACCATCTCAGTAATTAGAAAAAGTCTATGAGGTTGTGTTTAACTACATTCAAGGTCAACAGTGTGTGTAGTTTTTGTTTGTTTGTTTTTTTTAACAGTTGACTCAAAGAATGTGAAGCTGCCCACATGAGAGCTTTTTTTTTTTTTACCAATCTCCATACGTAGCCTTGGTACAGACAAGAGCAGGGAGTCCTGAGAGCACAAGCTGTAGCCTGACATTGTTGGTGTTTTATTATACATATGAGGAGAGATATATTGTGAGGCGCTACGCCCTTATAAATGAGGAAGTAACAGAAATGGATGTGTCTGTGGATTGAAGGTCAGCACATACTTTCAAATGTAAAACAACACTTGGGTTTAGTTTCAGTTTCTTTCAAAGATTGTCAATTAGAACTTCAAAGGATTCACTGACATCCATCAGGAAGAAAATGTATTTAAAGCATTTTTTTTATTGTGCATGTCTTTATATATCTGCCTTTTTATTTGCAGAGCATTATGCTGTATGACTCTACCATTTGAGTTTTTGTTTTTTGTTTAAGTATGATTTTATTCAAAGGAGCTGCATTCTTTCTTTGTTCTTTCATTGAGTGTATTTTATCTGGATATGAAGAATTGTGTGTGTGTGTGTGTGTGTGTGTGTGTTTGTGTGTGTGTGTGTGTGTGAGTATGTGTGTGCATGGATGTGTGTGT